AACAGTATTATTGTAAATAATGACACTTTAAATATTAGCAGCAGTACCCCAAATTTTTAGGATTATATATTGACAGTTTTTTATGTTGGGATAAACATGTTGACCAGTTATGTATGTCTTTGAGTAAAGTGATTTACAGCTTTAGAGTTCTAAAAAAATACATGAATAGTAACTCATTAAAAACAGAGTATCATGCTAATTTTGAAGCAAAATTCAGATATGGTCTAATAAATTTTGGCCACAGTAGGGACATAAATAATGTATTTCTGGTTCAGAAAAAAATAATCAGAGTTATGTTTGACTTAAAAAGTAGGGAATCATGTAGAGGGCATTTTAGGAGTAATAATATTTTAACAGTTTACGCTGTATTTATTCAAGAATGCTTACTGTTTCTATATAAAAATAAAATACTCTTTAGGAACTTTGAGCCCAATAGTATAGTAAATACCAGGTTATATAATTATAAAATTCCATTACACAGGTTAAGTATAACAGAAAAAAACGCTCTTTATTGTTGCATCAAATTGTAAACTGCCTGAACCTATTAAAAGGGAGGAAAGATTAAGTTTGTATAAACATCAAATATTTAAATTACTGGTAGCTCTTGAGCCATATTCTGTGGAGGACTATTTGTATATGTATCGGTTAGGAATAAGTAAATAATATTTTCGTTTGTGACACTGTTTTTTTTTAAATAATTTTATGTTCACGAAATATATATTATTTTCTAAAAATAAAGATATTGTTATGTTATTTATACAATATTATATAATAATATTATATAATATTAAAAATATATACAAAAGGAACATTTTTATTCTCGAGAGAGGAAGAGAGAGAAAATATATCTTCTGTCTCTCTCTTACTCATTATCTTACATATGTAATGGTTTCACAGATTCACTCTCATGCAAATTTCCAACGCCGACCGTGCGTATAGAAGTATAACTTCAACAAGTCTCATAGAAAATGATCAATTTTAACTTATAAAATCTAGGAAAATTATTAATGTAAAAAAAATTATTTTTATATCAGCTCCCCTCAAAATTTGATGCCCCGGGCAGTCGCCCGTCTTGCCCGCCCCTTTATCGATCTGGCATTGAATAGTATTCAGTAGGTATCATCGGTATGTTCCTTTATTTTTTAGTGTAGCACTTTCGAGTGCAGTTGAGTGTAGGCTACGCTAGCTAGTGCCAAACGAAAATCATGACCATTCTAGTATACTCAAACTTTAAGTTGTTATTCAAGCCAGGTTATTTTACGACTTGTTTATTATTTTTTCTGTTTTGTTTTCTTCTACTTTCGATTTTCCTCCTTTAATTTAAATAAACTTTATTATAATTAGCTAGGTATCTTTAAAAATATATATATAAATCAGTGATGAAAGAAGGTTACTAACTCGGAATCCCACACAAATATTCGACAAAAATAAATGTAGGAACGACAGGAACGTATAATATCAGATCCATGAACGAAGACACTAAAATCCACGAACTAGAGAAAGAACTGACTAAAATACAGTGGGACATTATAGGCATATCCGAAGTAAGAAGAAAAGGAGAAAAAAAAATACAGCTAAAATCAGGAAATTTGCTATACTATAAAGGTAATGAAGAAAACACCAACAATGGAGTAGGATTTATAATAAATAAAAATGTAGTTAAATACATACAATCTACCAAGGGCATATCAGATAGAGTAGCATACACGACGCTTAAATTAAAAAGAACGTCCTTAAGAATCATACAGGTGTACGCTCCAACAAGTACCTACAGCGATGAAGATATTGAACATTTCTACGAAGATATAACAACAGCTATGGAACAAAATTAACGCTAATAATCGGGGACTTTAATGCCAAAATAGAAGAACAACTATATGAAGAAGAAGACAAAGTAGGACACCATGAATACGGTAAAAGAAATGATCGAGAACACACATTGATGAATTACTTGGAGGAGAAGTAACTACTTATATGCAATGAATACATTTTTTAAGAAAAAATCCTAAAGAAAATGAACATGGATTAGTCCCATTGGTGAAACTAAAAACGAAATTGATTATATTCTATCACGCAACAATCCATGTTTAAAGACGTAACAGCCCTAAATCGCTTCTCAACTGGTAGCGACCATAGACTAGTCTTAGCCAAGCTGATCATTGAAAGGAGATTTTAAACAAGAAAAAAATGGAAAATAATCAGAAATTAGACATAGAAAAACTAAAACAAGCAAAACAGACGTACGAAGAGAGAATAAAAGATATATTGCCGACCAAGGATGATATAGAACACAAACATATCGATAAAATAAACATGATATTTACTGAAACTCCAATGAAAGTAGGTATGTAAAGAAATAGCACAGATTACAACAAAAAAAGAAAGTTTCATATCTCAGGAAACAAAGATTCTTATGAACACAAAAAGATCATTAGACCAAGGGGACAGAAATAAAAAACTATTAGAAAAAATATCAAGGATTGTAAATGGGGAGTACAGGAAGAAAAGATAGAGAAAGCAATTGATAAAAATAGAAACATGAAGTGCTTAAAGCAGAATCTGGGAAACATACAAATTAATAGCATAAAAAACAAAGAAGTAGTGGAGACCAACAATATAAAAGAAATTTTACAGATAACGCACAAATCTCTATAAAACAAAACTTAAACCAACCCAAAAAATCCGTAATCAATTACAACTGAAAATAAAGAACGTTAACTCTGACCTACAGCTACAACCAGAAATCAGTAAAAATGAAATAAAAAAGGCACTCAAAGAAATGAAGAATAAACCTGGGAAAGATGGAATAACTGGGAAAATGCTAAAAAATGGGAGGAACTACTGTAGAAGTCCTTTATGTACTAATGCATAAAATATTGAACACAAAACAAATACCCACCACATGGAACGAGGCAATAACAATATTACTATTTAAGAAAGGCCATAAAAAAGATATGAAAAACATAGGCCCATAACGCTACTTAATGTAATGTACAAACTGTTAACTAAACTACTAACAAACAGATTAACAACTTAGTCTATTATAATTATCTATAATTAGCTAACAACAAGTTAGATAATTACCAGTCAAGAGAGCAAGTCGGTTTTAGAAAAGGATTCAGTACAAGCGACCATCTGCTTACGATAAAAATATTAATTGAAAAGGGCAACGAATATCAAATCCCAATGTATATGGCATTTTTAGACTTTGAAAAAGCATTCTATAAGGTGGAACATTGGGCAGTAAAGAACTCTTTATAAAATGGGAGAATAGGCTATAAATATACGCACTTAATTTCCAATATATATGATCAAGCAACAATATCCATTAAAACAGTTGAACAAACGAAGCCTATTAAGATATGGCGAGAAGTCTGACAGGGTTGCACTATATCACCCAAACTATTCAATCAAGCTTTGGAAGACGTTATGAGGAAATTATAATGGGAAAAACGGGGTATTAACATAAATGGCCAATACTTGAATCACTTGAGATATGCAGACGACATTGCATTAATAACAGATAAAAGGGAAGAATTACAAAATATGATGGATGAAGTAAATAGGGAATCAACAAAAATAGGTCTACAAATGAATTATAATAAAACGAAAATTATGACCAACCAACCAGAAGAATTAATAATTACAATTGCACAAACAACTTTAAAACAAGTAAAAGAATATGTATATTTGGGACAACTAGTTAAATATAGAAATAAAGAAATAAAGAAAATTAGAACGGAGAAATAAAGAGAAGGATACGGTTGGCTTGGGTATCATTCGGAAAACTTTCCTATATACTAAAAAATAGAAAACACCCCCAATATTTAAAAACAAAAGCCTTCAACCAATGTATACTTCCTATTCTCACCTACGGTTCTAAAACTTGAACGTTTACAAAGGCAAACATGGATAAAATAGCGCAAAGACCTAAAGAGCCATGGAAAGGCAAATGCCGAACGTCAGGCTATCAGACAAGATAACGCAGACAGCAAAACTTAAGTGGAATTTCGCTGGACATACCATAAGACAGAAACACGACAGATGAAATAAGATGATTATACACTGGAGACCATATAGTTACAAACGAAAAAAAGGAAGGTCACAAATGAGATGTTCAGATGACTTGAAGAAACACGCAGGCCCGAAGTGGATACAAACTGCCTACAATAGAGAAACGTGGAAGAAGGAAGAGGAAGCCTATGTCCAAAATTGGACAGCAAGGGCTGTATAGATAGATAGATAGATCAAAGAGAATTATACACTTAATTCAAAGAAAACAACAAAATAAAAATTAAATTAAATCAAAATTTGTAGGTACCTACTTTAGTTTTTAAAATTACTAGAATGTTTATAATGTTTTTAAATTGAAGTTAAATTAAAAAGAAAAGATTTTAAACAAACACATCTGACAGCTAAACGGTTGTCAAACTCAATTGGATGATACTGCGCAAGATGAATGAAACGAGTGTGGATCAAAGGGATATACCTATTAACGTAATACCTATGCACGTAATACCTAGTATAATTGGACAGAAAATTCCAATAATTTTGTTTTGTATGGGTACTAGGTAAATAAGCTAAATAGGTTTTTATTTTGAAACAGTTAGTGTGTAAATACATATAGAGGGTTCAGAATAGAAATGAATCAAGTCCACTTTATCTACATTTGAGCTACAGAAGTTTAAAGTTTAAAGTTAGAGCTTCATAACAAAATGATCTATTAATGGTTTTAAAAGTATATATTTAATTTAAGAAGGTCAAGGAGTAACTTAGACATTTACATTGCTTTTATTGACCAAAGTTTATGTAATACCTAACCCCAAAAATGTAAAAAATGGACTTGGTTTAAATGTATTAAGAATTTTAGGAAGATAATGAACTAACTCCAAGTGATGTTAATACACTTTATTTTTACATATACTTAGAGATTATATTAGAAATATTAAAACAAAATATCACTTCTTAGGTGAAAGGAAAAGTTATTGACATGAACATACGAATCTTCGTCGTCGGTATCATTTCCTTCAGTCGCTTCGTTGTCCTGGGTTTGACAAGTTGGTTGATTCCCTGAAGGTTTCTGAAGTATCCATGATGAATAAGGGGTATGTACAGGCAACATGTCCTCCGTTTTTTTTAAATTCATTTGTCTTTTGGTTGGGTAAAGTTGCTACAGTCAACAAGGTTTGCACTTCCACGGGTCTTTCAGGCCATGTTTTACTTGTCTTTTTTGAGATGTCCACGGTTCGGAAACTCGAAATTTCACTAAAAGATTCTTTATTTTTATTTGGAAAGGTGCTCCTTTTTTAAACTTTAACCACCGTATCTTAAGCTAATTGATTTGTCTACCTTCAGTGTCCTCCTTTTTCCTGTTTGTGATTGAATCTTCGGGGAATTTTGTGCTCAAATCTCTTCTCATTGTAGTTTTACAATTTCCAACTAAGGCTTTTTCCCTTTTGCAGTTTTAATATCAAGTACATTAATAGTCCTATATTTCTTGGCTGCTCTCTCTATTATACCGAATTCAGTATGATTGGGTATGAATAAGAACCTGGTATCATAAATTTTAAATAAATTGTTTCCACATCTAATAAAGGGTCTTGAACAAGTTTCAGCAGAGTAAGGCTAGTTTTTATATTCTTATTTTGCCTAGTGCATGAGTCAGAAAACATGTGAATATCCTGGCATGTTCATACAAATAATTCCTAAGGCATGAAACTAGATCTTCAGAACACCTTCCAGTGTTGTTATTAAAACAATGAATGCCAAAGTTGTAGATATAAAATTTTCTCTAATAGTAGGCTATTGAAGTTGTGAGTTTGGGAAAAGGCAATGAATTTTGAAGATCAATGTACAAACATTTTTATCCTGCGAGGCTTTCGCGGCATCTTTTTTCACTTCTACGCGCGCTTGTTCGGCTTGCTTGCCTTAAGTGCAGTTCTCTTTCTGTCTTTAACTCGTCTGACTTTTTCTCATCAGTTTCAGCACGGATTTTTTAAATAACTTGTCACAGTTTCTGAAGTTTTTGAAGGAGGTTTAAAGTGCAAGTTAAATTTTTGGTTGAAGATTTTGGTAGCAGGGAAATGACTATATGGTCAACAACATCTGAGTCGTTAATTTAACGCAACCCTACTTCTCCATCTGCGTCAATAACGGCAGTAACTTCTGTCACTGTGACAGCTCCTTAACCAAGCTGTGCAAAAACTGTTTTGTTTTGAGTAATTTACCAGTTTCCCAAATGAATTAAAAAATGATTTTAATGTATCTTCAGAAGAGAACTTCTCACTGTACTTTTTAGGGCATTTACAGTCATACCCTTGTTCATCTTCTTCTGATCTAGAAGAAGAGCGTCTGGTAAGACACTATGAGACAGAGCTAAAAGTACAGATATACGACGTAGATACAAGGTGGAGAACATCAAGAACTGGGTAAGAAATAGAAGAGTAGAATGGAAGATCATATAAGCCGAATGACAACAAATAGAGTAGTAAAGACGGTTCCCCAATAGGAAGACGATCAGTGGGAAGACCACGAAAACGATGGAACGACAACTTACTGGGTCACATCGAAAAACAGACAGAGTCATGTCTATATAAAAAGAACCAGTCATACCCAGATGGAAATATCTTCGCTTGAGTTACCTTATTACTTCGAAAAGCGTACTCGTTACTGCTGTTATGATTGAACTTCCTTTTGTTAACTTTCCAATTTCCTCAGGCGCTTTCTTCCTAGGGAAATCTCTTTATTTTCCCAATCTGAGTGGACAGGGGAAGGAATGATGTTGCTGTTGGCAGTATAATTCAATTAAATTGTAAAACGTATTTTCCCATACAAAACATATCTGTAAGACAGTTAAAGAGAAACAAATAGACAAAACTTTCTGTTCGCAAATATCTTGTACTAGAACCAATTTATTTTAAACATTTGATTTAATCGTCTGCTGTCATCAAGCACTAAAATATTCTTTTTTGGGTTTTATTCGTAGTTAAAAACGTATTAAAACAATAGTTCAGGGATTTAAATACCTTTCTCTCTTGATGTACTGGGTTGAGTCAAATCATGAGAAATGTTTTCGGTTATAAGGCTCTTTTTCGGACCCCTCCATTTTAAGTTGGCCGACAGAACAGTCTTGTTATAGTCAGATGAAGTATCACCTTTACAAAAATATATGAAATTAGATGTTTACTGCAACAGGTCAGTCTGTGATACACGTTTCAATCAATATCAAACACTTTTAGTAGCAATCCTAAACTAAACTATTACAACATTGTATTTACCGGCGTCAAATTCACCTGGCGACCACTCTTCACCTGATCCAGATAAAATATCCATCGCATAATACAACTAGCCAACAAAACAAACATAATATGTAATAAACTGTTAAAAGCTATAACTAAAGGCACAGAATAATAAACAAACAGAATGCCCACTCTCCATGGAAAATTAAGTACGCGCATCTCCTTCGCGCAGACGTTCCGCCATGTTTTAGAGGGAACCAGTGTTGTTTATGTGGTGTGCATAGAAAAATTAACCCGGTTTAATTGACTTACGGCAATCATAGACACGCTATACAATTATATTAACATTGTTAAATATAATAACATAAATATAATATAATTAAACATAAATATAAACAATTACATAACCTCACATATTATATGCCTGTGTTATGTGCATGATATACCCGGTTCGCTATTCCCAGTCCGAACTGTCTAGTGATTTTAGTAATTATTTTTTTGCGAAGTTAGTTACTTTTTGACAGACTCGAAGTGGCTGGAAATTACTATACAACCAAGCATACGTACTCTTAGTCAATATTAATGTAAACAAAAGTAAATAAAATAGAACTTTGCCGACAATCAATATTTATTTATTTACACCGTATAATGTATTGATAGCAAATAATAAAATGATTTATTGTACAAAATAAAAAAAGTGGGAATAAATTCTACAAAATTAAAAAAAGTGAGGTTAAATAAGACATAGCAAGTTCCTTATGTTATGACTAGGATGGAATCAATTATTAAAGATTAACAGTTCATTGGATAACATTAACATAAACTGTTGTTTTATTATCTTACAAAATAAGTGTACTTCCATATGCTAAAAGCAAATATTAGTAATTTAACTAGGCAAATTCGTGGTTCAATAGTAATTTTTGCTCATTAGCATTTGAGGATGTTAAAATCTTCCACATATGGTGAATGAATTCAGTGTCCTGCACAGACCACTCCAGATGATCTGTGGTGTCCTGGCCGCAGTCTGCAGTCATATAAACCCAAACAAAAACAAAAACCTCCATGTAAGTATAAACAAGTTTATATTAAATTAGAAACAACTAATCTAAAAATATTAACTTTTAAAAAACATTTTATCATATTTATTAAGAAAAACTTACCAACGCATTAGCTGATGGAACAAATGGAAAACTTTGACTATCCATAATAATAAACTTTAAAATATAACTAACTAATTAACTGAATAGAACTAACAAAAGAATTAAACAAAGATAATAAAACAATAAAACTATATTAAATTAAATAAACAACGCGAATAATACAAATATTTACTACAATATTTTAAATTGTAACAATTCAAATATTGTATTTATACAGGGAAAATTTGATGGGTTTAGTATACACCTCCACTATTTCGAATAATTCTTCTTTTTTTCAAAGAAAGAAGTCTGCCTTGAGCTATTAATACTGAGAAGTAGGAATTGTTGTGTTGTAGGTTTATGACAATGAGTCTGTCAAAATATGCCCTAGCTAAGCGAATAGACAATACTATGAATAACAAGATAGGATCTTCTCGTATCACAAAATCGGTCGTATTCGCGCATGCCGTCATTGGAGAGTAGAATTTGAATTCTTGTTAAAGTTAAATGGGATTTGTATGTATTCTGTGATGAAATTACTAGACGAAAATAAGTTAAGAGGTTCAATAATTACAATAATTGTACACATAAGGATATCTCCAAACTATTTATTAAAGATTATTTATTGACACATACAAAAAACTGACATTTCGAATGTGTAACTCTCCAATGACGTCACGACTTATGCGCAATATCTTATCTTCTTATCATAGTATCATGGTTATGTGTTTCCTTTTAAAACATGGCGCGCGTGCTGAAAAACTTCAAAGGCGGCATCTGAGAGTGGGCATTATGATTGTTTATTATTTTGTGACAGAGTCAACAAACACTACCTGGACTTAAGGTCGATTCAGACACATCAGTCACGTCTCGTCACAGTCCTGGCGCCGAACCAAACAATCCGTCATACAAAATATTCATTAATAGAAATATGGCGCCGGCATTCACATTCATCAGTTGACGAACAGTTTCCTATCTGTCAGATAATTAATAGTTCTGTGACCAAACAGTACCGTTTCGGCGGCGAGACTGTGACGGGACTGATGTGTCTGAATCGACCTTTAGTTCGCTCAGTAGTATTCTGACAGAAAATAACAATCTGTCACCAGAACTTGCTACTGTCTAGCTCAGTGCTTCCCAAAGTTTTTTAGTTCACGGCGCACTTAATAAACTAGAATTTTTCCGCGGCGCCCTGAGTCAAAATATTGATTTAACGTCTAACTTTAACTGTAGTTAATACGGTTTCTGTTACAGTTGATATGGTTGGGTTAATTTAATAATAATGAAACATACTTTAAATTCACAAACAATTTATTGAAAAAATAATTACAGTAATTAATGGGATAAATGAGCTTGTTCTTGTTTATTACACAACTTTTCAAATCTCGGAATCAAACTGGACACAGCTACCCTCATTTCTTGTTCCACGTTAATTTTCGCACGGTATTTACTTTTTATTACAGCGACCGCCGAAAACCCAGCTTCGCACAAATAGGATGTTGCAAATGGAATTAAGATGCGCAGAGCTTTACCACTCAGCAGCGGATATTCATCTTTTACTGATATCCAAAAATCAGTTAGTTCCGTGCAGCCAAACTTTGTCTTCAACGTATTGTCGCAAACCAAATCAATGAGATTTTCTTGTTCTAAAGAAGTAAATTCAGAAGGAGCTTCCGCACTAAATGGATCTTGAATCCATGCAAACTGGTCGATATTATCAGCTTGAAAGTATTTTTCGAACCATTTGATAAGCTTTGATAAGTGATCCGCAAAAATAGATTTAATATTGCAAGAGATATTAACTTCATTAGAGATAATAAACTCCTGCAACAAGGGACAACAATCATTGATATTATTATCATTAGTTTTTCTCTTCCATACTTCTAATTTTTTTCTGAAAGCTGAAATCTTCTCCGCCAATTTTAAAATGTTCGTGTTGCGGCCCCTTGCAGGGAGAGATTCAACGCATTTAACTTTTCAAAGATATCACATAAGTATGCTAGTTGAATCTAAATATCCGTTTCTACAAAGTACTTGGCATACTGGTGTTTTTCTTCTTCAAGAAAAATGTACATTTCTTGACGTAATTGGAACGTACGAAACAAAACATTACCACGAGAGAGCCATCGTGAGTGGCAGTAGTATAACAGAGACGTCTGTTCTGCACCCATATCCTCACACATTTTTTTGAAAAACCTTGCTTTCACCGGCCAAGTTTTTATATAATTTACCACAGTTACCACACGTTCTAAGACCAAATTTAGTGAAGGACTCAGATTCTTTGATGCAAGCGCTTCTCTATGAATGATGCAATAGGTCCATACTGAATCCGGAGCTTTGTTTCGAACAAGCGCCTGTAATCCTCCATAACTGCCAGACATTGAATGACCACCATCAGTGCAAACACCAACGCACTTTGTCCACTCCAAATTGTTTTCAACCACAAATGTATTCAGGATCTCGAACAAGTCTTGCGCCTTTGTACTTGCAGTGATTTTTTTACAAAACAAAAGATCCTCCACAATGGTATTATCAACCAAGAACCTTATGTAACAAATCAAGTGTGCATCTTTACTAGAATCTGTTGCCTCATCCAACTGTGACGCAAATTCACTTTCTTTTATTTTTTCAATTATTTGATCATTAAGATCCTCCGCCATACGCTGAATTCTGCGACTGATGGTGTTGTTAGATAAAGACACCGATGAAAGAAGTTTTCCCGCAGATTCTCCGATCATAATGTTTACCAAATCTACAGCAGCCGGTAGAATTAATTGTTCTGCGATTGTGTGAGGCTTTTTACACTTTGCAACTTTATACACAACCTTGTATGATGCCAGCAAAGCATTTTTAGGTATCGACAAATACTTGGAAAAGTTACCTTTTTGTTGCTTTAAATCATTTAACTTCCTGGTAAAAAAGCTACGAGGTTCGTCAGCAAAGTTTGGATGATTGGCTTCCAAGTGGCGTTTTAACTTACTTTTTTTTTGGACTGAGGTGGAAAGGTTCTAAATCGACTAGGGAAAGATGTCCCTAGTACTGTTGGATTCGATCCGGAAAGGAGCACATGCTAGGACATAGCATCCAAAGTATGGATTATATGCGCCACATGCACCCCTGACCAGTCGCCTACCAACTAAAAACCACCCCTTCTTCGGACAAGGCACCCCCGGACGAGTTCAATCGGTGAACGAAACATTGAGATGCCTTGTGCAGTCTGAAAATTTGGGAAAAAATTGTAAAAGGGTTCTTACCTAAAAACGATAAGAAGCTCTTAAAATGGTATGCAGCGACGGTATTGTGGGAAAACAAAATATTGGGTCCTAAAAGGTGCAGGTGTGTTTAGCCTGACAAGGAAGGAATGTGAAATAAAAGAGGCATGAGGTCGTGAAAACTACGTACGTAATATAATTACAGATCTGGCTGTAAAAGTGCCGTCTATTCCGTCGTGCAGCCGAGTTGTAAAACACTTATGACAGCGTATTGTATAATTTGTTACCTCATCCACCTTGTTCCTGTCTCGCTCTTTCTAGCGTCTCCTTTTTCTTTATAATTTGCGTAATTATGTCTTATGCGTATAAAAATGCAGTGTTCTGCGTCGTCTATGACGCCACAATTTATACACAGATCATTTGTTGTCTTCTTTATTCTATACGTATACGACCTAAAGGAGCCATGGCCGGTGAGAAATTGTGTAAAAAAGTAATTTAACCTTCTGAACCTACATTTAGACCAAGTTAACACATCAGGGATTAACATTTTGGTCCATTGTGCCTTCTCCGTTTGTGCCTCCCATTCATTTTGCCATATTTGGAGCATATCTGATCTTACTTCGGATTTTATTTCCGGTAAATGACCGTTTTCTCTGTTATATAAAGTATCTCTTTCTTTAGCTAGGAGGTGAATGGGAAGCGTACCTGTTATGACCTGTAGGGCAATCGTAAAAGTAGTCCGATATGCGCTTGCTACCTTTAGTAGAGGCTTCCTTTGTGCCTTTGCAAGCAGTTCCTTATACTTAGCCATTCTCAAGGCTTCGTACCATATGGGGGCGCCGTATAAGAGTGTAGAGTGCACAATCTGAAGGTACATTCTTCTTTTGAGGGCACTTGGACCTCCGATATTTGGCATGATTTTTATTAATGCCGCGGTTCTTTCTTCTGCTCTATGGACTACTTTCATCAGGTGCTTTGTAAATCTTAGACCTGTGTCTAGTTGGATGCCCAGATATTTAGCACAGTACGTAGGCTCTATACTTGTACTACCTACTACAAAAGCCAGGTTTGGGCGGGCTCTAGGGCCTTTCAGGATCAGAATTTCTGTTTTTTCTCTTGCCAACTCTAGATCTTGTTTCACCATCCATCTATTGACTTTTCGACAGCTTCTGTTGACTAACATTTCTAACTCCAAGTTATTGTTACACTGAATGAGTAGAGCTAAATCGTCTGCGTATGCAATAGCTTTGGTCTCTGCTCCATAGTCAATTTCTAGGATTTCATTATATAAAGTGTTCCAAAGCATTGGTCCTAGTACGGATCCTTGCGGTACGCCTGCTGATATTTTCAGGTCTTTAGGTTTTGCCACTTGGACATACCTTTCATTGAGGTAGTCCTTAATTATATTGACCAAATAATCTGACACGTTTGCTTTTTCCAGTGAGGTGATAATGTGACCCCAATTGGCTGAGTTGAATGCGTTTCTCACATCAAACATCACGAGGGCAGCCCATTTCTTTCTCGTCCTTTTTACAGTGTCAGTTATTTCTATTACCGCATCGATGGATGATCTAGATTTTCTGAATCCGTACTGTTTATCAGATATACTTCCATTTATCTGTAATTCATCTTCTAGGCGATTTTTAATAAGATTTTCATAAAATTTCCCCAGGCTGTCTAGAAGGCAGATCGGCCTGTATGAGTTGGCAGTCTCGGGGTCCCTGCCCGGTTTAAGTATTAACGTCAGTCTTGCCTGTTTAATCATTATGGGAAATATTTGCTTCTGGAGGAGTTCATTGAAGATCCTCCGAACCATCTCAGGATTTTTCTCTATGATGATCTTTATCGCCTCAGGAGGCACACCATCAGGACCAGCTGCTCTTCCTAATTTAATACTTTTTGTCGCTATTGCTATTTCTTCAGCCGAAAAAACAACAGGTCGAACGTTGACGTTATTTTGAGTGAACTGTTGTGGGGGCTTAGCAGGAAATAGAGTATTAGCTATTTCCTTCCGTTGTTTTGCACAAAGGCTGTATGGGGTCTCTGTTCGTAATGTTTTTGTGGCAATTCTATAAGCTTCGCCCCATACATCATCTAGTGCTGCGCATAGGTTATGCCAGCAGGAGAGCTTCGCCCGTTTAATTTCTCTGCCCAATTCTTTTTTAGCTCGCTTGTAATTTTCAGTGTGTTGTGGAGTCCTATATCTTTGTGCCGTACGCCTGAGTCTAAAACATTCGGCTCTCTTGCTCTGGATCTCATCGTTCCACCAGTATGGCACTGTATACGTGACGTTTTCGGTGGAGCTACTTGAAGTGTATGCATTAATAATTGTCTGTCAGAAATCTTGGAATTCGGTAATGTCGTCTTCTTGTAGGTTACTTATCTGCCTCGTATAAGCTTCTTTATTAAAGGTTACTTTTTTCCGACCGATCTTCGAGACCTTGATGCCAGTTTCAAAGACTATGTATCTGTGAAAATTGTAGAGATTATCCTCCAACACCTCCCAGCCCGCAATCTTTCTGGCATAACTTTCATTCACAAGGGTAATATCTATGTGACTTCGACTCTCACCTCTCACAAATGTGGGTTTTCCATTATTTAGCACTACTAGGTCATTTGCGAATATCCAATCATTCCACATCTCCCCTCTATGATCATTTCTGGGAGACCCCCATATGATTGATTTGGCGTTCACGTCGCCAGCAAGTATAAAATCCCGATATGTTTGTGATGTCATTATGATATTCTCGACCTGTTCTTTGTAGCACATCAGGCTGATATTCGGAGAGATATAGCAGGCAATAATAGCCAGGCTTCCTATTTTAATTAACACGTGCCCCTCTTTCTTGACAATCTTATTTATGCATACTTTCTTATTCATTATGTATATAGCGACATCTGCGTTTATATCCGCTATCCAGCCTTTGTTTTTAGTAATGTTTTTGTTAGGCTCAGGGACAACAAGTAGGTCTGCTCCAATCTCGAGGGCTTTTGCATATATCAGTTGGTGTGCCATTTTCGCCCTCCCGATGTTAACTTGAAGTATCTTTAGTCTTTTTGTCCCTTGTGCAGCCATTTCAAAATCCTACCCTTGCCTTGTTTTTTTTTTCTTAGGAACTAGGGGGCTTCCGTAGCTGGGTCCGGCGATTGCTCCACCGCTCGTGGTGCTTGGACTTGATTCTTCTCAGAATTCCGAACTATTTGAAGTGCAGTCCTGAACTTAGGGCAGTTCGTGGTGCCACATCTGTGAGGTGCATCACAGAGGACGCAACTAGCCGTCGACTGATATGATTTAGATTCGTGTCCCGTTTTACCGCAGTTAAAACAGGACCCACTCCTGTCCGGCCCGTTACAGTTATCTAGGGTGTGATCGTAGGACCAACACCTGAGACATCTAGACACCCTCAGCCGTTTTTCTAATTTGCAGCGTACCATGCCGACTCGCAGGTACTCTCTCTGGAGGAGAATTTCCGCAGCTGCCTTAGACAATATAACTGAGGCTACCCGCGTATCGCCTCTGAAAGGTCTCATTTCTGAGACCTTCCAGGATTCATCCCATGAACCAGTCTGCGCCATAATAGCTTCTCTTAGCTGATCTTCTCTGTTGTCTAGCTCCATTCCTTTGACATGGATAGTCATCAGCCTCTCCACACCCAGCTGCAGGGTGGTCATGCCCTTATTTTTGTCCGTTAGAGCATCTTTAATTTGCTTCAGAGCACCCTGGTCCTTATCCATGGTGATGAGCAGTTTTCCATCTTTTGTGCTCCTAAGGGTACGAATGACATCTGTGGCACCCGCCACTTTCACAGCAGTCTTGACTGTGGTAAGAAGATCTTTATATGTTGTGTCCTTTTTTGATACAATCATGCCGTATGTAGGCCGACTAAAAGATGTAGCAGTGGTATAAACGTACGCTGTTGTGTTTGTATGTTGGAAGATGTACACGCACATCTTCTTCAGGTCTTGGACCGAAAGAAAGCTCACATGATGGAGCGCCACTTTGCCTGCATTACCTATCTCATCCTTAATTTGGACCATCTTGTCCCAGAGTGTCTGTTCATCTGCCGCGTTCTTAACCTTGATTACCTTCCTGACCAGATCCGCTGAAACCTTGGACCGGAAGGAAGTCCTACTTTCGAGGACGTCAAAATCTTCGTCCAGTTGTTCTAGTTCAGGGTACCGATCTCTATATAAACGTTGAACACTTCTCTCCATCTTTGGATCGGAGGGCTCAACCATGACCACCTTAGTGAGGGTATCTGGGGCGTTAACAGGGTTTCCGACTACGACAGTGGATCTCTTGAAAAGGCTCTCGGGCCATTCCCAGTCTTTATATTTATTCCAGGTTTCGGGAGAATCTATATGGTCTATCGATTTCAAAACAGACTTGACACCCGGTCCATGCCAAGGGTCAGTCTGCGTTGAAATCTCAGCAGTTAGGGGTTTACTTGTAGTGATCCCCTCAGCCGGACTTGGGTCTGTCTGTATTATTTTGCTAGTCATTTGACACGTCGTGTCGGCCGCGCATGGTTCAGTCTGTACTTCCGAATCAATGAGCATCTTTTCTGTCGCTTCAAATCTGTAGTTTTCCAACCACTTTCTAATGGATTCCCTTTTATAGGTTGCTACATTCTTCTTTAGTCTTTGGGCAACATCTTTTATTTTATTATTAGTGTTAGGTACCTCCCCAATTAATTTGTAGAGGTCTTCGGTCAGTTTTTCTTGCATCTCTATGCTTTCGATTAAGGATAGGTATTCCGAACTCTCCTTTTTTTTATATAGTTTAGTATCTAGGTTCGGCGAGCTAAGTTTCCGCTTAGCCCCCGAGGTCTTAGGTAAATCAAGGCTATCAGTAAGAGAGTGCGTCCTCTCCCTGCCACCTTTTTCCCTATTGAATCTTCCCGTTATACCGTACGGGTCGCCTCCGGTTTTTTGTAGTAAGGAAATTTTTTTCATACTGTTCCCACGAGTAGCTAGGGAAGGGACCTGTCCGCTGTCGCAGAGCCCCGCTTGCGGCAGTAAGGCTATTTACAATGGGGTGTCGGTAGATGCCGCAAGGCAACCGTTCTCGACCACGCGTCGTGTGGCCATTCATCCTTCAGCACGGTGTCTCACACCTTGGATTCCGGGTTTTTTCCGCTGGTTTTCTCCGTCGGTTTTTTTTTTCTCTGCGTCAGGTTGTCTCCTGAGGTTGGAAGGTTTGGGAGCAAGGAAGGGGGAGGGAGTCCTTCGGAGGGTGTGGAAGGCGTCGCAATTTGGGAGTAGTTGCGGCGCCTTTTAGCGTCAGGTGGCGAAGTCCGGCGACCAGTTACTCGGCCCTCCCACCGGCGTCGAGGTAAAATCACAGTCCGAGGAGGGGTTTTAACTTACTTGGAAGCATGCATTCTGGAGCCAAAAGTTTCAGGCACAATACACATTGTGGTCTCTCTTCATCATTGACGTTTGTTGATGTAAAGCCAAAATCCCATTGAGTTAGAATATATACAATAGATTCTAACTCAATGCATAATCCAAATAGCTGTCATCATATTTATGGTATTTTCGTTTCTTCACGACTCTACCACTAGTTTGTGGTGCATCCACTTTATTTTAGAACAACCTTGTTTATTTAAATTCAAAAACTTTTCCATTTTTACAGCAACTTTTGTACACAAGTAGGTGAAACAACCCTGTTTATATTCACGCTGATAAACGAAACGATGCGAACAGTGTGAAACTACAAATTCAACTACATAGATTAAATATATATATAAGTAGAGTTCAACTAACTAAAATTTAGATAAGTAAAAATATATAGTTTTAAAATGTGCACGTGCAAAGACACGATTGAATTTGCCGACCGGCAGTGATTTATGGCCTGTCGGTCCGAAGTCAAGTTACAGTAGTCACAGAATTGTTTCGTGGAATTTAAAATATCAAGGATATATTGTCAGCATCAAATAAAATTACTAATAACTGAACTCGTTTATCATGGGAAACATTTTTATATAGGTATATTTTAAAAGTTAAAAAGTTGTCATAACAACTTTAGTTTAATGTTTATTTAATACTTGAAGGTATTTATGTGATTATGTCTAATATTGGAAGAAAACTTTCGCGGCGCCCCTGTAGTCGAACCACGGCGCCCCAGGGCGCCGCGGCGCACAGTTTGGGAAGCACTGGTCTAGCTGATATTATTATCAGAACTAGGACTTGGTTCATTATTACACTAAAAAGTTTACCTAGTTGGTTCATGTTATAGCGTTGTTAACTCGTTAATGACAAAAAGTGGACTTGGTTCACTTCTATTCTGAACCCTCTAAGTATATGCCATAAATATCATAAACCCAAAGATTAACCCTTGATAGATTTTCATTATCACACCGGAAATCGTCTTCAAAAAAAGATTATTTAAAAATATTGAACTATTATTACTAGAGACCGACCGAATGTGATTTTTTTGGCCGAAGCCGAAGCCGATGCCGAAGTTCGGCCTGAAGAATACCTTCGGCCGAAGCCGAAGCCGAAGCCGAAGGTGACTAAAAATATACCTATTACCTATTATATGTTAATAATTTAAATAATGTGCATTATATTTTTATTAACTAATAAGTGATAAACAAAAATATAAAATTATGAGATAAAAAAGTCAAATATTTATACATTATTTGGTAATAGAAGCGATAATAAAAATAAATAACATTAAAAAACATTAAAGCAAGTGAGTATTTATGATTACTGGATCTGGTAGTTAATATTCGAAATCAAACATCCTAATATTATACGTAAGAAAAAGAAGCTTGTCAGCGTTTTCTCCCAACAAATTAGCTCTTCTGTCAGCGTATAGTTGCCCAGCAGAGCTGAATAACTGCTCACTAGGTATACTCGTTGGTGGTGCCGATAGAAATTTTTTGGCTGCAGTTTTTAAAGAAATATAGGGACTTGATTCCCAATAATGAAATATGTCGGCGCTTCTTAAAAGCAAAGCCTCTCGTATATACGAATCTAGGTAATCTGCATTGGGATCGTTGTCGTTATGAATTTCTTTTGTTGTATCTAGAACTGCTGTGACAAAAGTATCATGTGAATTCCAAAGACTATTGTTTTCTAGATCTTCTACATGTGTAGTTGTAGATGATGATGTTGAAGCGATAGGAACTTTATTTGTATAACTAAACTTAGAGCTATCAGATTCACGTAGAAATTTTAAAATTCTTGCTTTACATGTAATTACTTCCTCGTCTGTCAAATATTTTGATTTAAAGCGAGGATCTAGAAGAGTCGCAATTGACAATGCTGGCAAATTTGTAATATTAGCGGATCTTTTAATTAATGATTCACGAAGTCGTAGCTTTAATAAACTTATCTCCTCAGAGTTCTGCTCTTTCGCAGAAACTTTACCGTTTAGCATTTTTATTAGTGGGATAACCAATGATACACAAGCAGAATCGGCTGAAAGATCTAGCGTCACTTGGTAAAAACAAGTTAAAACTGAAATTAAATTGTTGATCAATTCCCATTCTGTTGAACTGGGAACTTCAATACCACCACGTTCAGCCATATACAAATTTATTGCAACTTTCTGTTCGAATAGCCGCTCCAACATTAGGTAAGTACTATTCCATCTTGTTTCCACATCCTGAATTAACTAACATAGCTGTCGCAAATTGCAAGTTTGTTGAAACTGCCTCAGGTACCTGCACGCTTGTTCACTCCTTTTAAAATGTCCCACAATTTTACGACATTTTTTAATTGTGTTTTCAATTAATTCCTGTGTTAATAAAGAATCATGAATTACAAGTTGTAATGAGTGAACCACACATCTTAGAGATGTAAATTGTGTAATACGAATAGCCGCGACCATATTTGCTGCGTTATCAGTTACAGCTATATGAATTTTGTTTTCTATTTTAAAATTTTTAATTATTTCATTAAGTTTACTTGCAATAAACATACTAGTGTAGTCATCATTAAGCACACTAGCGCCTAATATAACTTTAAGACGTTTTGAACCATGAACAAAGTGAGCTGTAAAACTCAAAAGAGAACAGGTTTTAGCAGGATTGCTCCAAATATCTGACGTAAAGCATATCCATTCGGCTTTAGAAACTGAATTTGATACTTTTTTCCAAACTCTGTCATAGGTAGCTGGCATTAAACTAGTTCTAAAAAACTTTTCCGTTTTTTTTTCTGTATTTGGAAGTAACATTAGGATCTCCAAAATTTAAACGCTAAAAAGTTTCTCCTTCAACGATAGAGTATGGTAACATGTCGACAATAATAAGGTCCATGATACCCTTATCAATCCTAGATGATATCGGATGATCATCAGGCCATAGAGCAGGTGACTTAAGTTCCATTATTTGATGTAGGTTGGGCTGAAATGTCCTGGAAACTGGTTGTGTAACATCATGTGGAGTTTTCATATGTTCCAATTTTCGAACTTTTATTCCCATTTCAATGTCACAAAATGATTTCCATTCTTCTGTATGGATTTTTTGTAGATGATTTTTAATGTTTGTAATAGTTTGTATTTTAGGTGTTAAACTGCCAAGCGATAATGACTTTGAACATAGTTTGCATGCAGCTTTGTTAACACTTTTTTCAAAATAATCCCAAATTGGATTTTTTATTGACATTATCTAAAAACGTTTGAATTTACTAAAATTATATTAAAATAAAAATTACAGACTTACCAAAAGTTATTTTTACAACACTAGAACAAAAACCTGAACTGATTTTGCAGCGTAAATTATAATATATATATTTCACGGGTAAATAAGTACTATTAGCAAAGCTGCACCCACGAGAGAATAAACTTAAACTGTTGTAAAATATTTAATATTTGCATTCATAGTCGATGGTCGATGTTTTGCCATTTAGGTATCTATTCAAAACACCAGTAATCGTGAGTTTTAACAAATACAATAAAATTATTATCATAATTTTACTACGTGAGAAATATTCAAATGAAGATCTTTAAGACATCTTGGCCTATTGTTAAAATTTATATCCTACCTACTATTACCTGATCTGAAAGTTTGTAAAACGTTTTAGTTGAGGGTAGAAAATAGTGTGTAAATATTATTCAAATTATCAAAGACTCGCCGAAGCGTATTGTTCAGAGATTATTTCATTTCTATAGTCACCTTCGGCAAAACATTCGGCTTTGTTTTGGCCTAAGCCGAATTTTGGCCGAAGGTTTAAATATTGGCCGAAGGTGGCCGAAGCCGATGCCGAAGCCGATTAATCGGTCGGTCTCTAATTATTACAATCAATAGTTGATTTTGTTTAATTATTAATTAGGTATAACTAAAACTAACGAACTGTTGGTTTTTTACTCAGTATTTTAAAGTATTTTTTTAATTGATTTCCGGAGTGGAAATTGAAACCTCAAATAATAATATTATAAAATCTAATTTTCATTAGGTAGATACAATCAATTGTAGGTTAATCATGTTTTCAACATGAAAATAATTTAATAATATACATAAAAGATAATGTAATAATTAAAAGTGTGCAGTTTATTGAAAAATAAAAAATACAGGAAATTAACTGATAATTTTGGTGCCGAAATAACATTTAGGGTGACGCGAAATATTGAGACGCGTGCAGTAACCTTGCGGTATACAGTAATATAGGTACATAATATAAATACATATATAGACTTATTATTAAATTATATTATTTGAAATACAAAAAAAGAAACGAACTTTTTAGAATTCAATAATAACTTTCGAACTTATTTAGGATTCAATATAATTAATAGATGATTCGCGCCATTTTTGAAATTCTTAGTGCAATGTGGCGCACCCGCAGTAAAGTATATCAACACTAGAACTATCCCATGATTCTACTTCCAGACTAGTCCATTATTGTTAGGGGAGTACTGATGGACTTGCACTTTTTGCCATTTAATTTTACTTTATTATTTTACATACTGATGTATATTTTAGTTATAAAAGTTGTTTAAATCGTAACTGCTTGTAAATACTTATTATTAAAAGCGATCACGAGGGCAGGTTTTCAAAAATTCTTGAATATTAACTAGTCTTCTAAATAAAATGAACTGTTCCAAACAAGCTTTGTAGGCAGGCAAGCAAAGCGCTGCAAGAGCAGCCAGTCGCCAATCGGTCACCGTATCAGGAGGTAGAACATAATGTGTCATAATTTTCTTTTCATGAATTTGAGTGTAGAATTGTTCTCTTTTTGTGAAAACGTACTATTATCGTTAAAAAGCAGTATTGTGCATTTGGAAAGCTGTTACATTGAAAAATACAATATCGAAGAGGCTTTTTTGAGGTGAGTGACATATTTTTGATTACTTTCCCATAAGATCCTCTACTTTATATTAATATGTGTTTAATTGTTATTATCGACTTCTGTTTTGAATAAATTTCGTTCTTAGCTTAGAATTTTTGTATTTTCTGATTTATTATGAATCTGAACATATTCTAAAATTAGTTCCTATATTTTTCAAAGTGGGAGGTGAATTCTGTAAAATACTTTTTATGTAAATTCTTTTTAGTTCTATAAACAGTTGTTTTATCAAATTTAGTGAGATGTTTGTTGTCGGCAATGTATAGAACATTTTTGACCTGGCAACAGTGGAAAGCGTGTTATAAAAGATTAGTAAGAAACATAATTTTTTAAATGCTAGTTTGAATTTGAAAGTAAAAGTAGTTTGTAGAATGTAATTTTTAATTTTAAAAATGTTTTTCTCACTGACAAAGGTTATCCTCACATTTTTGTTCATAAATAATTAATACTATAAAATATCCTCCACATTTTGTATTTGTTTACTGACAAAAGTTCGCAAGCGACTTTCGTCTTTGTGAACATTTTGCTTAGAATAAACGCTGGCAACTGCGCTTGTGTGCGTCCGGTTCCCTGCCCTTCCACTCTCCTATCGATTCTGTGTCTATCCAATAGAGAGCTCACCTCTGAGCTCGCGGGAGCGAGCTTTTCTTACAATGTTGTCTTTTTACGCCCATTGCAAATACAAATAGCCCAAGTATAATGATTGTTGTTCGTCCCTGTAACATCGGCAACGTCAATCCAATATTAGAGGGCAAACAAAGTTGCCAAATTTACGATTTACATTACCACAATGCGTACGTAAATTTATCTCATACAATTATTATCTTTCGACGTATTTTATTAAATAGTCTACAAGGATGATACTTCAATTGTGGTTTGTTTTATTTCACCTCGCTTGTTTAGGTAAATGGTTTTGTTGGATTTGGAAAATATATCATATAACAGGCACATGATGTAAAGTAAGTTTTCTTTAGAGATAATGTGTAATGAAGAAAAATTCGGTTCTCGTACACCTGATTAAGGAATGTATCTAGTAACTTCTGAATAGGTACATCTAAAAATAAATATCGAAATATGACTGTGTTTGTAAAATTCAGATATTTTAAACTAAAAATTAATTAATTTTCTGTTTTTTTATTTATGATTTAAGGTCAAACGGGAAAGTTACTGCTAATAGGATACATAATAAACTAATAACTTTCTTCGATGCTGTCGCGACGTTCTTTCAGGTTGTTTTAGGTGAAACGCCTTTACCACTACAGATGATCAGAAAATGCTGCATTGTCAAATTGCGCAACGGGAGTAGTAAGGGTTAATACAGTCAATGGGATAATGTTGGACTTGCGCGTGTTCTTTAGTTCTGATTGAATACTATTTATTTATTTTTATTACGTAAGGATGGAATACCTTATGCATGCCTGTAATGAAGATTTTTAACTAAATAATCTAATGTAAACTACCTGTTTGAGTCACTTTTATATTTTATGTGACATACTAATAAAAGGGTCGATAACCTTTCTTGTTTAGCAATGGAAAATAATTTCATAAATTGTATTTAACAAAAATTTGCAATATATTGTAAGACAAGAATGGAGTGATGATGATATAAAAAGAAAAGTACTGGTTTTGTTTATGCTTTAACTAAATAAGTAGGCTTGTCTAAACCAATCAGCTGAACTAGCCTGTTCTGTTCAACATGACATTTTTGCAACTTTATTTAAACTTGTCCAGAATAGATAAATATACAGATCAGACATATATTATTGTGAAATAATAATTTCGTTTTGAATGATCAACATGGCGTTTTTTTTTTGTAAATGAATATTTTGGAATCATTTAGTTGACGTGGTAAAATATTTTCATAATAATTTGTTACTTTTTGTATGATTAAAGTTCTCGTTTTTTTATTCCTGATACAAATAATCTTTTCCATGGAATGTTTAATGTGAGATTTTTAATATTTCTTATCTTATTCATGCAAATTACTAAGTAGGTATGTATTTATTTATAATTTTTAGTTTTATACGAGCATACTGATATATTATTAAGCTACTTGTGATGCTATTTGTAATGCTTGCTGATGATACAAATGTTCTAGTAAGGCAAGTCATTTGGAGATTCTACTAAATAAATCTGTCAATATTTATGGAGAAATGTTCAAGTTATACTCCAGTGAAGGATTAATTGTAAATAAACAAAAAATGAATTGTTATATGTTTAGAACAACCAGATCAAACCTAGAATGTCTTAATTAATCTCATGATGCAAACATTGAAATTGGCACTAAAACTATATTTCAAATCATTATAATTGATTGAACATTGACATGGGAAAGTTACATAGAGCAAAAAAAGGTTGAAATCAGTATGATATACTTTAACACGTTGCCTGCCTTAGAGGATTTTGTAATAGTTTCCGTCATGACATAGTCACTGAGACAGCACCACAGTTACATTAAAATTCTAGGTCAAATAGACCTCACTGGTTTGCAGATCAATTTTTTCTTGTTCTCATATACTGAGATGGCAGGCAACATGCTAATGATTGTTATCACAATATTTAAAACAAAATGACTAAAATAATTTCATTTTCAAACTTTAAATATTTGGTATTTTGAATTTTTTATGGTAGATGCAATGAACTTGGTAAAATATGTTTCCATCAGAAACAAATATTCAGAATTATTACAAAAATATTACTTGGAGCAGTCTTAAAAACTAAAGGTACCTGCAATATAATATATTGACGAATATCCACAATTGGACCCAGTTCTGCAGAAAGCATCCAACCCACAGAGTATTCTTCAGAAAATTGGAAAATACTTTTTTATGAACAATGAATTGTTTTTGTTTAAAATATTAATATTTCATAAACTTTATAAACTGTACACCGCAGGCTTTGTTGAAATAGACTGCAGAAAACATATTTTTTTTATTTATTTATTTATTTTTTTTTTTAATTTTTTAAATTTTCTTATTTTTCCAAACTGTGTTGATTTTTTGTGGGTTGGATGCTTTCTGCAAAATAAAAAATTCAGGTTATTCAGATTTATTTATTAACATTATTCCGACTCAACTACAAAAAAGGACAAAAGTGATTCTTAATATAATGTACATATTATATGGTAATAACAATATTAAAAATTTAAATTTCTTCACTACAGAAATCTAAATTATTGGTATTAAAGCAATCAACATCTTCTTCTATGCCTGCATTCCTGGTTAAATTTTCATAAAAACTTAAACAATCTGCTGCCAAGAGATGGTACATTTCCCGCAAATTTGCAACCTTCGGTTCTGCTATTGGCTTCCCTTGAGGCCACAGTTTGACCAAATTTAAAAATACATCAGATTGAGTTTGAAGCTGTCGTCCTCGCGTTATCTTTTTTATATTAACCTCTTTAATGGGACTGTCAAAAGTGTTCTGCTGAATGAATAATGAAAAAGGTTCATTTTTTGTTATCTTGATAGATCGTATAGTAAGCCAGTTAATTTTTTCACCATCATATTTACTATACTTTTCTTTTCTGTTGGTTATATTGCTTTCTATGGATGATGTACTAAAAAAGTCTTTCGAAGTCAGTTCAGTGACTACAAGTGGATTTTTCTTTCTGTACTCTTTCATGACATTTATGTAATCTGAAGGCAAATACATTCATTGCTGGTGTTTTAAACCCGATTCGATATCACTGAAATCCGAGTCATTCTGCAAAAAACTATGACCAGAACATAAGATATTTATAGTAATATCTTCAAGATGATGGGATGAATGCAAAATATATTTTAATATCAAAGTAATTTTGATGTTGCGATTCTGCCCCCCACACGAATCGCTCCACAAGATTAAATGTTTTACATCAGATGACAAATATTTTTGGGTGTGGCTGATTAAGCATGATCCCACTTCCTGCGCTCCTCTACCAGCTACTCCTTCAGCCCATATGTAACAGTATCCACGATTTTCTGATCCACTAATCACCCCAGCATTGTAGACCCAAAGTTGTCTCTTATAGAAAACGATGTTAGTTGGAATCCTAGGAAGTGGTAGAGTTTTCTCCAAATCAAAAGTGAGGCACTCATAGTCATTTAGTTCTTTTGCCGTTTTAAAATCTTCTCTTCTCAAGGATTGTGCAGTTTCAGCCTCATCAAGATGTCGTCTGTGTTTTTCAGTTAGTTCCTGTTTCTTCTCGTTATTTGTTTCATTATTAATTTCCATTTTTAAACTGTCGCATATGTTGCATGTATCCTTTTTCAGCGTCTTAGTTCGCAAATTAAAGTTGGAATAAAAGATTAGTTTGTATTTGGTAATACTTACAGGTTTATCACATTCTTTGGAATACATTTCGTACATTTTGGCAAGTGTCACATGTGGAGGTAAAAATTTTGTGTCAGTTGTCTTCCGTGAGTAGTGGGAAATATATTTTGGGATCCTATTGATCCTATTGATTGATCACTTCCTCCAACTTATGATCAGGTGTTTTATTCTTACTGCCTTGATTAACACCTCGTTGGTCTACTAATGGTGCGCGACCATGAAATTTGTTAAGTGCCGTGTTCACCCGGCAAGGGCTTATACCAAATGTTTTAACAAACATTTCTCTGCAGATGACTTTATCAGTTATGTTGTAACATCTAGAGAAATTATGTTTCTCAATATTTCTTCCCTAATTTCTTTTCTTTGGGACTTCACGAACCGCAGCTGCTATGTAATTATTTTGGCAGTTGTATGATTCTAGTGCCCTGAATTTTTCGAATTCCTGCTTTCGTACTTCAACAGAAACAAACTGTGAACACTTTAATTTACATTGGCAGTCGAAATCTATAAATGTTCTTGATTCTGTTTTACGTCCTTTGTAGTCGAAATGGGTCACGTTACTGTTTCTACTTTTTTTTCCTTCCGCTCTAGATTGATCTGCAAATTTTCTTTTTCTTCCCTTTCGAGGTCTCCCTTTACGAGTTTTTATTTCATTTGGTTCTTCTTCT